GGGGTGGAGTGAGGCGGCGCGGGGGCGGCGCGGCACGGCGACGCTTATTGTGATAAATGCGCCGTGGCGCTGTACTACCTCGTCACCTGAGGCCCTCTCCTCCCCGCCTCGCCTCCTCACCTCCATCGCTCGCCTCGATGCCTTGCACCGCCCCTCCCCTCTCGTCCCCGCCACTCCGCTCCCTTCCGCTCCTCACCTCGCGGCGGAGGCGCCCCGGCCATATTTAACCTGCGTCAAGCCGCGATGCGCTAAGGCTGAATTATGATAACAGGGCTGTTCGCTTAGGTCAGACCTCCGCTCATATATTTGGTCAGTGGGGCGGTGTTGAATCAAGAACGCACCTGTACCGAGTGAAATTTGATCTGCTGTGCGCGCTGGAGCTGCTGTTGAAGCGAGCTGCGAAAATCCATTGTTGTGACCTGTGGCGTTGTGTATTCTCCTTGGAATGTAACGTAAGGAATTTTTTGATGGTTCAAAATATGCTTTTTCTCAGCTCTGAGTTTTTCAAAGCACTGCTCGCAGCTAAGGTTAACAAATTTGTATTACGTTGCGAAGTATTAAAAATGTCTACAATAAACAACCAAATAATATAAATAAATATACGATAAATATAAAATACTCTTAATCAGTATTTATACTACGAATTATTAGTATACAGTTGTATAACATGTAGGGAAGACACAATACTCTTTTTTGGTGGTATGTGGTGGTCAACAAAGTCATTGCAGATGGCGCTAGTGTGTAGTATATGCGAATCACGAAAACAAACTGGGTATTAAAACAAGAGTTGTTGCACTGAATGTCATGTATTATTTGTAGTTTATATACATTTACAAAACTTTTCTCGCACGACAACACACCATTTATTTAAGAAGAAGATATCTTCTTAGACCTACCTAAGAAGGAAAAGCGATACTTTTCTTCATAATATGCTTGGTAAATGAATCTGTACATCTGAATGACAAGCTACAGAAGTCATTGCCAATAATTTTTTACATATAAAAACCTAAATCTCACACTCATTTTCAAAGTTCGCCAACTATACAAAAATGTAGTAGAATGCAATATTTAGGTAATTTCTGTTATTGTTATTTGATGAAATATTTGTATGGTAGACATTGTGTTTTATAGAAAATACACGTACAATTTTTCACATTTTTTCAAATTTTGTGGTCTGCTAGTAGATAAATTGAGTTGAGACTTTGGGGCTGTCGTAGAAGAGGTGAAAAAAGAGACAAAGAGAATTTTCAAAACAAATATAGAACCCTAGAGAAAATATCATTTGGGTGTTTCTGAAAATATATCTTTTTGATCTCTTCTATATTCTAAAACTTTAGATTTCGGAAAACTTCTAATCATTTGAAGCATTTGTATCTACAAATGCATTAAATTATGAAATACTAAATGAAACAGAGTGATTATCCTGACACTCTCGAGACTTAACCCTAGGATCTTGCGGTTGACGTCAATTGATGCCCTGAACCACCTAAACCGAATCATCATTATCATCAAAACCATTATTATTATTATTATTATTATTATTATTATTATTATTATTATTATTGCTATAGTTGTTGATTTTAGAGCTCTCTACGGAGAAAATAGTGCATGTAAGTGTACATGTGTGGGTGTGTAAGAAAAGAGGACGGGACAAGGATGTCGAAGAAAAGATCGCCGCGGTCTGTGGCCTTTTTGTGAAGGTACTGCTACGGTTATTTGCCTGGTATTGATCGGAGAAGCTAGAGAAATCTACGAATCAACCACATTCGGGACTGAAAACTAGGACTTCCCGCTCAGAGACATTGCAGTGACAACAGTTCTTTCCCTGAGGTATCTCTGCATGTGAATTTCATTTGATATAAAGTAATTTTTCTGTGTAATTGCTTCATGTGGATAGAAAAATTGAAAATTTGCAAAAAGAAAAACTTGCCTACCAAAAACGCCAGACGCATTGAAATTTTTTTTAAAGATGGTTGAGTTATAATTTTTTCTATCCACGTTTTAGCCTAGTGACTGGGTCATACGCAAAGGGTGGGCATGGGCGCGGGGCAAAACGGCTGGCAGGCCCGCGAAAATTGCTAAAATGAGGCGTCGCAAAGATTGGCTGAAGGTGCGGATGTAGCATCGAATAGTTTAACCTGAGGGCCGCTCAAACACTTGCAGCAACGACATGGACACGGCCGTAAAATGAGCGATACGGAAGCTAAAGTGTGATCCCTTACACCGACGTGCGTTATTCTCAAACAAAAAAATGTTTGTAGGAATGCTTCCCATTTACCGGAGAGAATATAAAAATTGCAAACAAGATTTTGCAGGTAAAATTGTGTAACGTTGCTACTCCTTATTCAGTTGGCTTTGATGCAATACCTACTTATTTTCCATAGAAATAAATGAACTCAGTTTAATAGCTAAAATATCGATTTTATTGAGCAATGAATGTATTAATATTTTATAGAAGTTTACCTCAGACCTGTTTAACATTTTTTGAAATCTGCTGCAAACGTACGTTTGTGCTTGACTTACTACTTACGTTTGCGAACTAGTCTTCTCTGAAGAGAGGAGGTAAAATCAAAACACGGAAATGATCTCTGAATACAATCTGGAAAATTCGTCTAACCTTTCCAGTTCTCGAACTGTTGTTCATATACGAATCATAACATAATGAAAATATATCATAAATAATATATTTTTTATATTAATTTTATTTATGAGTAATTATCTTTACCAATATATCTGAATTATGTTTAATAGGCGGTTTAATAACCTTCTGTTGTTGGTCGTTCACTTCTCGACCTGTCAGCGATATTTCCGTTCTCCAATTACCATGCTTTCCTCCCTTGCCCTCGATTGCCTGCTGGCGCAGGAGCATGTCTGCCAGATTGGGCAATACCCGTCCCTGTTTTCGACTTAACAGTTGCAATCACCAAATTGTCTTAATTCTTTTCTTCCCCGTTTTTTAGTAAACGTGAGCATTCACGGTTCTGCAATATAGTCACTTTTTGTCATTTGGTCGTAAGGAACATAAAAGTTATCTGTTAAAGTTGCAGTATTATGTTATTAGACAAAGTTCTATTAGTTACCTACACGTGCAGTAATATATATCAACCTCAAAGTCTTTTTTTTTGTTTGTTACACCACTGACACTCCATATTCCAACCTTCTAACCTTGCAAAATTTCCAATAAACCACGTCGCTTTTCCTTTGGTAATCCTATTCCACGCATATTGCGAACACATGCCTACTTTGTCCGCTGGCTAATCCGGCCCTCGCCCCATGGCGACGGTGCCACGTGAATAATTTCGCCTCCCCACCCCTCTTCCCTCACCCTGCCGGCACCGCGGCGCCGGAAAAGGTGCGCGGAGGAGCTCACCCTGACTTCGGTCGCCCTGCGCCGAAGGATGGGATGGGACGGGACGGGTGGGGGGCAGGGCTTGGGCGGGTACGAGCGCGGCCGGGGGCGGTGGGGTGAGATGGAAGCCAGGGGCGGGGGGCGCAGGCGGGGCGGAGGGGGCGGGGGGGGCCGAAGCGGCGACGGAGCGAGCGGAACGGAGCGGAGCGGGCAAAGAAGGTGAAGCGGGGGGGGCGGAGCGGGGGAGCGGAGAGGGGCGGCGGTGCACGCTGGAGCGTGGGTGGGGGGGGGCGCCGCGGTGGGGGCGTGGCGCGGAAGGGCGTCGCTGCATTGTTAGCGCTGGCACCAATGCGGAAAATCCAAATTTGTTTGCGGGATACCGCCTCGCAGGGGCCAAACCGAAAGCGCGGGCGGCGGCGCGGCGTGGGCGCGGCGCGGCGTGGCGCGGCGCGGAGCAGGACGGCTCCGACCGCCGCGCGTTGCCATAGCGACGCTCCGCGGCTCGTGGGCTACGTGCCCCTGCTCCACGGGTTCGCAATGGGAAGGGCTACGCGTCTTTGGTGTGATACTACAGGGCGGCTACTTTTAATTCCAATACAACATGAAAGAAACGTAGAATTGTTGCATGTAAATTTAAATTATAAAAGTTTAGAAGAGTGTATACTTAGTAACTCGACACAATATTACAAAATATGAATTGTAGCTAGTGGTGCTACAAATGGCACAATCTTTCCCGCATTTGTTTTCTACTTCCTTTGGTTTCGACTAGCGACTCGGACTTGCCACTTACTCTTGCCAGCTGCCATCTATCGCCGCCCAAAGTACATTTTTTGACATTTTCTTCATTTTTCGGTTTCCTAATTGAAGAGAGGAAATACTATTTTAAGATTATTAAAAAACAATAAAACCTCGTCCTTAATGGCAATTTTCTTTGAAAAATTTGGAGCCCCTTTTAAAAAACTGGCAATTAAGCGCTACTGTAAATGCGAAATTTGAACCTCTTTTCAAAAAAAGCTATTGAGTTTCCGCAAAACTTCATATTAAATCATTTCAAGCACTTCCAGTCACAAATGCAAATGTATTTACAAATAGCTGGAAATGTGCATATTAACGGCGTGAGAGATATTTTTAAAAAGTACATTAGAGTGAATTTTGGAAAAAAAATACCTCAGAATGAGCTTTACTTCATATTAAAGCGTGCAATTATCACCATTCTTCAAAACGTTTGAAAAAAATCGAGTAGTTTTTGAGAAAATGGCGTTTGAATGTTATTAAAAATGCGGAATTTTGTGCTAATTTGAACAGAAATAAATTTGAGGTTTCGGCAAACTTTGTTTGATATTGTTTAAAGCACATGCACTTATAAATACATTAATGTAAACATTCGTCACTAGTCTAAATATTATCGACCTAAGAGACAAGTAAAAAAATACATTTTTGTAATTTTTCCAAAAAGCAAAAGAATAGAGCGTCTATGTCATCTTATAGAATATATTTACCAAAAGTTTAAAGAAAAAACTTATAGCCGTTTTTGAGAAAAAAATGTTTTTGTAAGTTTTTAAAATTGCGCAAATTGCACGCAATATTCTGCGAAATCTACTAACATTAAAAAAAAGTTTGATATTTTCGAAAAGTCAGAGTTAACCGTAAAAATCGTACATATGCCACCTTTATGAGTGTATGTTCTATTTTTACAAGATATTTAAAGAGAATATTTGGAGCCGTTTTTGAGAAAATTTCGAAAATGTCAGGTAAATTTCCCTCAAGAACTTATAAATGAGTTTCAAAATCGCAGAGCTTAGACTCAATCCAAATAGTCAGCGGTTTCTTCAATTTCGAAACAATCCTTCGTATGGTTTAGGCGCTAGTGTTGTTCACATACACCAGACAGACAGACGGACGGTCAGGCAGACGGCCAAACGTTTAAAAAAACATTTTATGGTATCAGGGAAACCCAAAACGTACATTTCCGTTGAAATATTGACATCGATTTTCCGCAGCGTTACATAACTTTCCCAATACTTCGTATATACGTACGTATACGTGAACGTAAACAAAAATCAGTTTTTTTACGTAATTATTTTGTTTACGTAAGAAATTATTAATGTAATTACGTAAGTAATTATTACATTATTAACATTTCGCTGTTGTTTTGCACTACATTTGTGTTTATAGAAAGATTTGCGTGGCTTGCATTATGAGAATCCAACTTATTTATTCTATTTTCAATTACGTTCTCTACGTGATTATAAAGCTAGGAGTAATAAATTGTTATTGGCGTTAATCTGTAACTAATTTTACGAATCAGAAAACTTAATTGAACCCAGAGGTAAGAGCTAACACTCCAAATTTTTATCTTTCATCCATGTATTACAACAATTTGTGGGAATCTTCTATTTATATTTTTTGATTAAGGGTAAACTTTGCTACGTTTGTTGTAAATTGAAATACTACTGATATAACTACTATCTCTATAGGAATTCAATGGGTATAAAAAATATCTATAAAAGGTTAACAGTCGATTATATTTAATGAAATTCAAAAAGCAATGAGCAGGAATGGACATAACTGCTAAAAATATGAGAGAAGGACACTCAAAGAACAAACGATGCTACAAAAGTTAGAACACTGAAAGCGTTTAACACTCCCACAATACAATGTAAAAGAATCTCTGAAGTTTATCCGTCCCCTTTTTCATTCGTTAACATTTATGAATTATTACCTAATGTAATTCTTAACTTCAGCTCTGTCGATTTCATTATCATATAATTGTATCCCAAGTAACTTTCTAGAAGTTCTCTCTCTTTTCAACTACCGATTACCACTTTAAATATTTAATAATTTTACTTCTGAAGATGTTCTAGACATAATGTGGATAATTAAACAACGGTAATTCGAAATAATATTTGAAACTTGAATAAAGGTCTGAGATTTCCACGGAAATATGTGTTTATATGTACTGATCTTTTTCTAAAATATGATGAATTTCCTTGTTAAATTGCAATCAAATTTCTATCCAAAAAAATGCAAGAAAAAATATTTACAAATGTATATGATTTAGCATTTTTAATATGTCCAGAAAAAGTAGCGTGTCAGTCAACTATTAATTCTCATGATAATCCAAAACGTAATGTGGATTAACATATTGAAATTAAAACTGACAACTTTTGTGCAAACCGTGAACAATCAAGACATATTACATTTAATCCAGAAAATTACTAGGATACGATACAATCGTGTGTCAGAAAGCTAAAAGGACCAACAGGATTGTGAGTACGGTAGTCGGAAAACAAAAAGTTCCACGCAAAATGGTTCTGATTGGTGATTCCGGGCGCATCAAGTGCTAAGGTATAGTGCATGTTTTAAATGCGGATGATGACACTGCTCTTCGCAGGTGCCTGGCTAGATTCGACGCCGACCTAGGTCGGCTTGGGGGATTTCCTCAACCAGATATCTCCACCAGCGAGGCGACGCCCCAGCCGATACAAGCTCTGAGCTCTTGACTGATCTCCCGAATTGTAATACTGTAGTGCATGTGAGTGTAAGTGTGTGTAATTTAGGGGCGAGGATAGGGCAAGGAGGATGAAGGAAAGATCGTACGCGGGTCGTGGCCCGTTTGTTAGGGTACTGCTCCAGCATTCGCCTAGTGTTCATCGGAAAAACCATGAAAAACTACCTATCAGATACGCCGGCCGCTAGAATTATCCTCGCAGCGGCTGTACTCTACCTAGCTATGAAGCTAGTGTCGAAAATTCTACCAACGTCAGCAGTCGAACCCCACAACATCCCGGCCAGAGGAACTGCAGTGGCATTGATGCCTTGAGCCACCTTTGTCTGTAAAAAGAAACTATCGACTGCATTGCAATGCTACCTTGTAGGTTAGGTAGAAAAGGAAAGTTCAACGAATTCATTTTTTTTTTGTGATTGATCTATTCGGGTTAGAATATCGTGCATTGCTGACCGGCTGCGTGAGAACATTCGTCGTCCGTGTCTAGCCGAAGCTACGAAAGAGGCTCATGAAAGCGGCGGATCTGGGTGGAGCGACTCGGCACGACGCCGTGCGGCACTGGCCTCCAACAAACGCACGCATTTTTCGGGCGGCGCGTGAGCGCGCGGGCGGCGAGGCCGCGTCCCGTGAGGCGCGGAGCGGGAGCGGGGGCGGGGCGGGCGGGAGCGGGGGCGGCCTCCTCATGCACCGGCGCGCTCCTCCAGCAGGCCGACTCGAGACCGGCGCTCGGCGCCGTCTCCTCAGCAGCCCTGGAGCGCCTCATTAGCCCGGTGGTAATTGCAGGTGGCAGCGCCCTCGCCTATTGTCCTCGCCCCCGCTCTCGCCCTCGCCGGCCGGCCGGCCGGCCGCCCCCCGTTTTCCGCGCGGTCGACTATCGTCAAGTTCCTCCCGCGCCGCTTGGCCGCGACTGCGCGCCTCGAGGTGCCTCGTGGGCGCTGGCTTTTAAGTCAAATAATGAATCTCCTGTCGACATCCGCTTTTGTTTAGGAAAACGCTGCATGCCTTAATAATGATATCTCGTGATTTTTTTGACAGCCATCCAACTTCCTTTACGTAGCATGAAAAAATGAAAGACATGTTCTTGTCTAGACGACACATTTTCAATACCCATTCTCTATTGTTAGTAATAGTAGAAGTAAAATGTGGCGCCGCCGACTCTGTAAACTGTTTTAAAAATAACTTCATATGTTAAAAATGTCTTTCGTCTTTCATTTCTTCCATGCCCAGGTTTGTTCAAATATATTTTTTTCAGTATCTGGCATTGGACTTTCCAATGAATCGTAGTAGCTGATAATATTATATCCACGTTCAAAAGTTCCCAACACCCAATGGCCTTGTGTGTTACCTCCATATGGGATATGAACTGGTCTTGTAATTACAAAATTATAATCGCCGTAACAATTAATTACTTATTCTGATGCTAATAGTTAAATTTTAGTACAACTATATTTTTACGACATTTTTTGCTAATACCCACAAAAATGCACATAGCACATTTGCATTAGCACAAAGCTTAATGCAAAAATACAGATAATTCCGAATTAGTTCCGAAAATTATGTCGCAACGTCTTTTACGTCAATTTCTTGAAGTTTAATAAGTTCCGAGGCAATACAGTTCGTAGGTTTCCGCAAATTTATTTTTAAACATACGTTAATTTCAATCTAAATTGAAATCAATCTGCAGCGCGATTTACGTGGTAATTCAATTGTTCACTTAGATATATCATTGTTGCCAATTCATTGAAAGAAAATTATGGCGTATTTTGCTAAAAATATGTTTGGGTACTGGTGTATAATCAATGCCTCCTGGCGTTATCGCTAAGATTGCCAAAACACGAAAAATACTTTTTTTGAAATTTATTTGAATTTTCTTGCCGGATCAGAAAACAAATAACCAGTTCTCCATCAGGAGACCGAGACGCGGCGAATGAAATCTCATACGTCTCGATTCGTGCACGGGAAGTGGTCCAGCCGTCAGTGACGGAATCTCACACATCTGCACATTCCAGAGTTTTACGGAATTACTGTATAGGGATTATTATTATTATTATTGTATTCACGACGAACGGTGGTACATGTTGCGTCGGTGGAATATAAAATATATAACATTCACATCCTTCGTTACAAGCAGATCTAGTGTCTGTAGATATCTCTACAATACTTTGCACATAAATGAGCTGTTCCCAATTACACAATGTCTTTACTTCCCGTCCGTTTTTCTTACTTAGATTTTGCGGAAGAAAACTCAGAGCTACGATATCGGTGTGATGGATATCGTTGACACCCTACAAACTGACGTTCTCCATTTTCAAACTCACGTATTTTAGACTCTGACTCTTTGGTTATGGTGCTCTGTTCGCATTATACAGCAACATCTTCAAGATGTCATAACCGTTTCTCAAAATCTTAATTAAAAATATTCAGTTTGTTTGCAGCTATAGATTGTGGGTTTTTTGCTCAGCATGATTATTACTGCATTATATTGCAGTATTCAGCATGATTTACACTGTCCCACAGAAGTCATATGTTTTGGTGAGAGTTCGGACCATTTACAGCTTGATTATGAAACACTGAGGTAGTTACAGATTGCGTTAGTTGCAGATAAGTCGTGCATTTTCGGGTATTTAGACTTTGGTTGGATTCGAAAAATTGAGACAAAATGATCACAATTGTTTCTGTCTATTCTTGCCAAATATAACATTCATCATCCTGCAAGTTTTCAGTAACTGCTTTATCATAATGATTCTCAAAGCAATATTTTAGGCAGCAACTACCACTAATCCGTTTCACGTTTAATTCTTTACCTTTTAGGCTACATAAATGAGCGCATTACCATAGTGACGTATATTTTTGTTTGTCTTCTAGTTTTATCTATCAATATATTACTTTTTCGCGCGAAGTACGTCTTCGTCTTTCTGCGTAGGTAGTACAGAGAAAGTATTTTTATTTTGCGGCAAAAATTGGCAAGTTTTTGACATAAATAATTTTATTCTGGTGCCCTAGTATCGAAAAATAGGAAAATCCTCCATTCTGCCTGTCGTCCATCCATGTGCAACGAATAATCTTAAAGCATTCAGAAGATTTTCTCAAAAATATACGTTCCTCTGTAGATCTTGCCAAACTCGAAACACTGCGAATTTGAATTTAATTCCAGAGATACTATACATGAATCTTTAACAGTTTCAACATTTTCCCTTATTCTACACGTGAAAAAAATTGAAAGACAAAAATACAGATTTTTTGAGAAAATGCTTTTTACTTTCTAGACCTTACTTCGTAAGAGCAGAAAAAATTGTATTAATGTTCTGGAAAATGGCGATTCTTCTACAGTAAACTTTTAGTGCCAGAACTTGCTAACAAGTATTAGAAAAATGTTGTTCATATATATTGTAAATAATTTTCTTCCGAACACTGTGAAAATACATGTTTTGTGGCTGCTTGATAACGACAAATCAATTTTTTCTGTCTTTCTTCTTAGTCTTTATTCTAGCTCTTGTCATTCGCCTTCCTCTTTCGTCTTAGTCTGTCGTCTTAATCTTTCGGCTTAGACTTACGTCATAGTCTTACAACTTTTTCATCGTCATCAACTTCCGGCTTCAACATTCGTCTTCGTGTTTTGTCTTCGATTTCGCCTTCGCCTTTCGTCTTCCCCTTCGATTTTTCGATTCCCCTTCTGCTTCGTCTCCATTTTTCGTTCATCTTCCTTCCGTGTTTCTTCTTCGTCATTCGTCTTCGTCTTTTTCTAAAACTACATGAATTTATAAACTCATCCGTGTCACTAGAATTAATTTATGTTACATAGTTTGTGAAATAGGTATGTTTATTTTCTGTTAAAAATGTAAAGTTTCTTTTCCGATTTTCGACATGTCATGGATTTTTCTGATCACCACTGACCTAGCACGAAATTTTATGTCAAATAAACTATTGATACCGATTTTTCGATTACAAGCTTAGTATTTTAGAAAATCGAAAAAGTATCACCATAAACGTCAATTTCTTCCAAATAGCAATTTAGAACAATTCAATTTCAAGACGCTTCTGATTAAAGAAAAACTCTATTTAAGACACAAATTGAAGAGCAAAGTACATACAATTTCGTGTGCGATTTTCAGCGCTGTATGTATTGAATAGTTTAGGTGATAGAGCTATTTGAAATTGACTCTCATTTCCAGAACTTTTAAGATTCGAAAATACGAGGCTTTCAATTTAAGGTTCCTACAGGTAACATTATCATCTGTACATGACAAATGACGACATTTTCTGAAACTGAGAAAATTTAAAAACACATCCGTGTCTCTACAATTGATTTATGTTACAAAGTTTGTGAAATATGCAGATTAATTTTTTGTGTTGGAAAATGTAAAGTTTCGTCGATCTTATTTCGACGAAAGTTTCCGATTTTCGACATGTCACGGAGTTTTCTGAAAAACACGGACCTAGCATACAATTTTATGGCGAATACACTGGTGATATCACTTTTTCCATTAGAAACTTAGTTTTGTAAAAGATTGCAAAAGTAGGGCCATCAACGACAATTTCTTCCAAATAGCAGTATAGAAAATTTCTATATCAGAAACTTCTGATTATACAAGAAACACTAATTAAGATTCTAATGGAAGATCAAAGTTTAAACAATTTGTTGTGCGAATTACAGCGCTGTTGCTTGAACAGTTTAGGAGTTAAAGTCATTCAAAATTGACTCTTATTTTCAAAGCTTTCAGGATGCGAATATACAATGCTTTACATTTAAGGTTCCTACAAGCAACAATTATCATCCGTATATGACAAATCATGACATTTTCTAAAACTACAAGAATTTAGAAACACATTCGTGTCTTTAACTTGTAAAATATTACATTGTTTGCAAAATATGCAGGTTTAATGTTTGTCTTGCAAAATGTAAATTTTCATCGATCTATGGATCCATTGAAAATATTTTTCGATATTTGGAAAAAAATGGAAAGGGGTGTTTTGTATTCATTCAATAGAGGCTCCACTTTGCTTCTCGTCTACCTTCAATACTCTTCGTGTTATTGGCGTTTTGTTTGTAACTATGAAATTCTCTTAAAAAGTTCTTTTTTTATTTCGTCTATCTCGGAAACTATTCGTCTGATTTGAGTTTGCTTTGCAGCAATCAATTTCGTTTAATGTTTTTTACTTGTATACAGAATTAGATATAGCAGTGCTGAAATTATTATTTTTCGAAATTTGGCACGTAAGGGGGGGTCGTTTTGTACTTTGCCCAATTGAGGTTCCTCTTTGTATTTCGTCTATCTCGGAAACTATTCGTCTGATTGGAGTTTGCTTTGCACCAATCAATTTCTTTTAATGTGTTTTACTTGTATACAGAATTAGAAATAGCAGTGCTGAAATTAATATTTTTCGAAATTTGGCACGTAAGGGGGGGGGGTCGTATTGTACTTTGCCCAACTGCTGTTCCTCTTTGTATTTCGTCTATCTCGGAATCTATTCGTCTGATTGGAGTTGGCTTTGCACCAATCAATTTCTTTAAATGTGTTTTACTTGTATACAGAATTAGATATAGCAGCGCTGAAATTAATACTTTTCGAAATTTGGCACGTAACTGGTGGTCGTTTTGTACTTTGCCAAATTGAGGTTTCTTTTTGTTTTTCCTCTATCTCGGAAAATATTCGTCTGATTGGAGATTACTTTGCACCAATCAA